ATTTAGTTCTGCTCATATCTGTGTGCAAGCATCACTTGCATATATATCCAGACCATCCTTTGTGTACATCTGTCCCCATGAATGTTTGTGGGGTCACATGCATTTGCATGGGGCTGTCATTCCGCACGGGAGTGTCTGTGTGCATGGTCTTTCAGCTAGCTTGTTGTTTGTAAAAAGGCATGAATGTAGATGAAACTTTGAGGAAGGCCAAATAAGAATAAATAAATTCAAGGAGACATCAACAAAGAGAGGAAAATATATGTGTGCAGGCACCATATGTAAGTGGCTCTCACAGTGAATGGTGAAGGTGGCCTTAAGAGCATCTTGTTTTCTTTCCAGAGCTATCTTAGAAGTTCTCTTCTATTATTTCCATGTAAAGGGACCCTTGAGTACAAAATTAGTTCCCAAACAGCACCCAACCCCGTGCTCATCTCCTCATCTCTATACTGTGTATTCCTGGAGAACAGAAATGGATCTTTTTTCATCTCTAGAGCCACAGTGTACAATGTCCACCACAAAAGTGGTGCTCAAGAAAGAAACCAGGAGGGAGGCAGAGAGGGAGGGAGAAAACAAGGAAGGGGGAAGGGAGGCGGGGAGCGGGGGAGGGAGTCAGGGTGGGAGGGAGGGAGGGAGGGAGGAAGGGGCAGGCAAAAGAGAGGAGAAAAGCAGCCCTATTCATCATGAGTAGACAATTGGCCCATGGTAATAGACCTGAGCTAACAAACTGCTGGACAAGATAGATGAGCAGTAACCCATAGGAGCAAAGGGTGACCCCCTCCGCGACCCACCTCATATCTTGGTCCAAGTCAGTTGCTCCCCTGCCCATCCATGACTCTTGGCCCTCAAGGATGGAGGGAGGTCCTTGAGTTGACCTCCGTGAAGTGCATTTATCTACACAGATGCCCAGGCTGCAGTGGCATGGGTGAAGCTCAAGCTGTGGGCTGTGAGCCTGGGTCTTTTGTTGAGGTCCTGCTTCTCTGAATGACTTTGAGTAAATCACTTAAGCTCTCGGGGCCTCACAAGCAAGTGTCCTTATCCATTAAACGATATACCGTGTGAGCTCTAAGATTCCTTCTTGCCTCGGAATCCTGTGATACCCTGCAGTGCTGGCCAACTTCTGCCTCCCCTGCCATCCCGGGGCCTCTGGACTCTGTTTGTGACAAAGGCCTTGAGAATGCAGCCCTTCCCCTCCAGCCACTGCCTCCTCCCTGGACAATTACCAGTTCTCAGTAGCCACACAGGCCTAATATTTGAGGAAAACAGCACTACCTCCTGCCAAGCAGACAGGATCAAAAAACAAGGTAACAGTACCAAAGTGCAGGCAAGCACCAAATCTCAGGCCAGATGCAGAGGTCAGCATTGGAGGTTGCTCCAGCAAGACTTACACCATCTAATTAAATCCACCCAGCCCCGAGCCCAGTCCTTTCTCAGTCAAGCATGCTCCGGGGCTGCACAGATGCCAGCAAATCCTCCCTCAGTTCCCTCGGCTACTCTGGAAGTCCTCTCCTCAACAGCCCATTTTCTCTTCTCTCTCCTACTTCTCCCAGTGAGTCCCCAGTTTCTCCACATCCTTTTTACTAAGAGAGCATGAGCATGAAGTCCTGTCTTCAGGGAGGCAAAGAGACTTCTTGAATTTGTCCACTGCACAGACACATTAGCTGCCAGTGATTAAAGACAGCACAGAATCCACTCTCATCTTCAACTTTCCAGGGCATGGGAGAATAGAATAGAGGAGGCTGGCTGCTTCATCTGAGACTGGAAGGGAGAAGGTGGGTACAGATGAAGATATTTGCCCTGGGGAGGGGAGAGGGCAGGAAGTCAACTAATATTAATGTTCAAAGCACTTAGGAGGGTTCTGAGAAGGGTCCTGAGGATTAATGCAACCCATCTCTCTCCTAAAGGACTTTCCTGTCTAGTGAGGGAGGCTGGCACATGAGCTATAAATGGTAATTTGCATAAAGCATCCTGGAAAAAACTGCCTAATGCAGCATACTGAGGGAGTTCCAAGAACGGAATCATTGATTCTGTCTGGGGAAGAATCAAGATTGGCATCCAGGAGGAAGTAGAGGTTGAAGACTTTTAGAGATTTCTGTCTTACTGACTAGCAGTAATAATAACAGGCTACACCTTTGCTGCACCTTGTGGTTTACAAAGCGCCTTTGTGGCCTTTGTTCCCTTAGTTCCATTTGATTCCATTTGTTTGCAGGTTTCCATGCACTTCCACAGCCATTGAGCCTACTCTGTGGCAGGCACAGCTACAGCTCCTAAGATCAAAAAGCATAGTCTTGACTCTCCAAGGTTTCCGAAGGGAAGCAAACAAACAATAACAACAAGGAAAAGCATGAGTTCTGAAGGGAAGCATCAAGTTATTGTGGTGGCAAAAGGGAGTGTGGAGCTTAACCCAGGCTTGAGCATGGAGAGAAAGGGGCAGGGAGGATGACACTGGGAAGCCAGGCTAGAACGAGCCCTAGAAAGGCTTATTTACAGAAGACCTGCCTGTGGGATATAAAACACTCCCATATGTGATCATCTGGGGGGTCCTCAGTCGGCTTTCTAATCTCTGAATTATTGGGCTTCTGCATTCTTAGGAAGTTTCTTAATGGTAAAGGTGTCATTTAAAATTAAGTTGGATCCCAATAAATAAGATAGTGACCATCTAGTGACACTAGGGAGGGTAGAGAGAGGTTGAACTTGAGATTTTTATGAAAGAAGCAAAATTAGGAGGCTGTTGTGAATGATCAGAGGGCATATATTAGCCAAGGATACTTGTGATAACCAGAACATTCAACACAAACTGGCATGAGCAATAAAGGAAGCTGGTTTGCTCATGTAGCAGGAAGAATGCAGCAGTAAAGTGGGCTTCAGATGTGCTTCACTGAGATGGACCCTGGGCCCCGACTCTGTTTCTCTGTGATGCACTGGGCTCTGCCTCCCTCAGTGACGGGCTATGTCCTCTTGCTGGGTCTCTTCATGATAGTAAAAGGGACTGAGCTTGTCCCTACCTCGTATTTGTGCACCACCTTCTTCAAAACAAGAAGAAATTTTCCTTTCTCCAACCATCACACAAAAGTCATCTATTTACTCTATTTAGACCAGTCAGAACCAATCTCAGGGCCACACAATGAATGATGTAGTCAACCTCTAAGCTAATTTAAGGCAAGAGAGATAGAACCATTAAAGGATGTGTTCAAGAGCCTTGGACTAATCAGGGTCCGCCATGTGGGCTAGGGGTGGAGTAAATACCTGGGGGTGCAGGTGGGAGTAAATACCTGGGGGTGCAGGTGGAAGAGGAGTAATTCCACAAATTAAAATCTGGGTGCTGTGAGCAATAGGAGAGGGAAGGAATGGATAGTGGATAAGAAGCCAACCCTTGTCCATGCTAGAGGGTGAGGAAGGAGAAACTAGGGACTCTCTGGCTCCAAGACTGTGGATGTTAAACAACCTTAACAAAGCCTGGAGATAGAGAAGAAGTAAGTCTGGATGTAGGCAGAGAGGTGAGGGAGAAAAATAAATTTATTGTTGAATTTTAAGTGACTAAAAGACATGTAAGTGGAGATGTTTGATGATCAATTCTGGATCTTTCCAGGAACCCCACACCAGGGAAACCACTGCTAAGTGATCCCACTGTTTATCCCAACACTGTGCTGAGTCTCTTTAGAGTTTTGAAAAACTCCACAGTTATTGATTAGCCATTAGTGATTCCCTCCGTCCCTGCATAAGCATTTCCTCTTCTTCAGTGCAGCAGCCTCCAAATAACTGGAAATGGGGCTGAGCAGGTGCAGATCAGAAGAAAAAACATCCCTCTTAATGTGAAAAATTAATTTGTGGCTCTAATTGCTTCAAACTCCAAAGGAAAAAAGGAAAATCTCCATTCTCCCAGCATTCAAAATAGAACACAGGCTTTATCTGTATAAAGAAAATAATCTGTCAAGGGAAAAATAAGAACTTATGCTGCTTGAATGTCAATCTTACAACATTGTAAAGGAAAAGCAGGTTTAATTACAGTCAAATCTACATAGAATCATTGTTGAATGGTGTGCACAGGAGCCTAAAGGTCTAAGATTTCAGACTTGACAAGACACTTCAACAAAGGCTGGTAGAAACAGCCAAGTGTCACAGGGTGGGGTGCGGGGAGACGTGACTCTGGACTGGAGTTCTGTCATATGGAATAGAGAAGACCAAAGCAAAATGTTCTCAAGTTGCCTGTGGGATCTATAAAATCATCACAGAAAATTAAGTCTAGACTTTCCTCCCTGAAATAACTATTTTATTTTCTAGAACACAGCCTTAATGGTTGTTCTATATCCCCGTGAAGAACACACGAAGTAATGGCCTGGAATTTTCCAATTTACCAATGTCAAAACAGAGGCTAAGAGAAAGGGCCCATCTGAAGTGATCCAGAAAACCAGTGGTGACTCTGAACTTGAACTAGAGCAATATTGTGTCCCAGAAGCCAGGCCCCAGAGCCATAAACTAAAAATAAAAGGTGGTTGGTACCCACTCCACAGAACATAAGCCTATTCTTACCCATCTATCCTATGCCCTCCCCTCCTGTTCCCCACAAAAGAGAATTTGCAGAGAAAAGTAACCCATTTCCTCTTATGAAAGCAATTCCTCTGCACCAGGGTCTGTAAACATTGGAGGGAGGATCTGGACAACTCGAAAGAATATATTTTTTACTAAGTTTGAAGGGAAGTAGCTCACAGGGCACCTGCAGGCCTGCAGACAGATGCAGGTGCCTTCTGGTCCTGTACCCAGGCCACTCTGCCCAGGCAGTGCAAATGGCTTCTCCCCAGCTCCGATCACTAGCCTAATCATGACTAGCCTAACACCCAGCCTGGAGAGCAGTGGCGTGATCTCAGCTCACTGCAACCTCCACCTCCCAGTTTCAAGCAATTCTTCTGCCTCAGCCTCCTGAGTAGCTGGGATTACAGGCGCCCATCATCATGCCCAGCTAATATTTTTATTTTTAGTAGAGCCGGGGTTTCACCATCTTGGCCAGGCTGATCTTGAACTCTTGACCTCGTGATCCATCCACCTCAGCCTCCCAAAGTACTGGAATTACAAGTGTGAGTAATTTTTTGGCAGTGGCACCCTGCCAATAAAACATGTTTCTATGCCTTCTCTCTTGTTTTCTTGTCCTTCTCCTTCTATTCAGAGAAAACCCACTGAAGGAGCTCAGTTCTTGGTACTGTTTATGTCTCCCCACCCCTGTGTTACATCTCCTGAGATCTTTAGGAGCATTGAGAAAGCACTGGAAAGACCAAAAAGAATAAGAAAACCTAGAAACATATCAAGGCAGTAAACTGCAGTGATTATCAACTCTGAAACAAGAGCTGAGTCACATGTAGCATATACAGACAGGAGGACTCCATGCTAGGAATGTCTTCCCTTAGGACAATGTTCAGGGGCCAGAATGGTGGCTGCAGAAGTCAGAAGCTTCCAGCTGCTTCACAGATCAGTCTTTGGGAACCCCTAGAGCGGCTCCCTAACTCAAGGCAATATGAAGATAACAGAAACATTGGTTGCCAATCAATAACTGTGCGCCATAGAATGACAATTACACATGCTTCATTATGCAGTTAATGTGGACATAATCCTACAAACAATAAGAAGTATGCATAGGCTTCTGATATTAACTTCCAGTCTCCCGGCATTAAGGAGCTGGTGAGGCCCCTTAGTCAGATGTGACGAGGAGTTGCCTTTGTCTCCTCCTGTAGGGACTCATTTTCTTCCCATGTTATCCAGCCTCTGCGATCTCTGTGTCCCAGGCTGTTCTTGTTCCATGCTAGTCTGTGCCAGAATGGTTACTTCCTGATATCAGTGTCATTATTATAAATTGAAGAAAATACCTGCCTCTTGGCCCTGGATTTTAGAAAGTGCCTGCGTCTGCTGTGGTTATAGAAGAGTGCCTACTTTCCTTCCAGTGCTCTCCGCCGAATGCCCAGTTGTCAATAATTCACCATTTCAGGGCTGGCTTTTTCTTCTACATGATGACTGTGGCTTTCTGTCGCTCTCAGAGTACCTCTGCCTGCAAGCTCTGTGTTCCCCCAAAATTCCTAAAAGAAGATTGGGAACGTATCAGCTTTCTTCTTTGGACAGGAATAGCAATTTGCAAACCCAAATGAAAATTGTTTCTCTTCCCCAACACAGCGAAAACATTGGTGGCTTGCCGCCTCTGACACATGTTGCCTGCCTGCAGCCCTAGGCTTGATTTTCTGACCCTTTTGCACCCTCTGTTGTGTTAGAATGCACTTGGCAAATGTGCCCTGATCACAGTTCTTCTTGTGTCATGCCCGACTCTGGCATAACAGTGTAATTGCATCAAAGACTCAATTGAAACCATGTAAGTTTCAAGGATACAGGATCCTAGGTGATCAATCATATTTTTGCCGTAACATACCTTTTACTTTCTAGGAGTTGGCAGAGGGTTGGTTACTGTAGGCAGAATCTATAATTAGCGATCAAATATATTTAGATGACAGAATCTATCCCAGTAGAACATTTTACCCCAACTTCCTTTAGATCTAGATACAATATCTATATATGAGGAACCTGACTACAATCCTATATGGAGTGTTTGGATCCTGGAGCTATGAAACGGCATTGCTATCAAACTATATATGATGGTCCTATACGCAAACTGGAAACAGTTGTCTCTATGAATCAGTAATTAGTATTTGTTCTCAGCTAAAACATTTTGAAATGTATTTCCAGGTAGAAACAACCAAAGTGTTCATTTCATTAGACAATTTTTGGATGAACAGAGAAACAGAATGTGGTAGACACATACTGTGAAACATTATTCAGCCTTAAAAAGGAAGGAAATTCTCAGCCATGCTATAACATGGAGGAACCTTAAGAACATGAAGTGACATTAGCCAGTCACAGAAGGACAGATACTGTATGATTCCACCTACATGAGATACTTAGAGTAGTCAAATTTATACATAGAGAAAGTAGGCCAGGCATAGTGGCTCAGCGTCTGTAATCCTAGCACTTTGGGAGGCTGAGGTGGGCAGATCGCTTGAGTTCAGGAGTTCAAGACCAGCCTGGGCAACACAGTAAAACCCCATCTCTACAAAAACACAAAAAAATTACCCAGGCATGGTGGCATGTCCCTGTGGTCCCAGATACTGAGGCTGAGGTAGGAGGATTGCTTGAGCTTGGGAGGCAGAGGTTGCAATGAGCTGTTATCCTGCCACTGCACTCTAGCCTGGGGCCACAGCGAGACCCCATCTCAAAAAAAAAAAAAAAATTTTTTTAAAGAAAGGAAGTAGAATGGTGGTTGCCAAGGTCTGAGCACAGTGGCTCACACCTATAATTCCAACACTTTGGGAGGCCAAGGCACGTGGATCACATGAGGTCAGGAGTTCTAGACCAACCTGGCCAACATGATGAAACCCCATCTCTACTAAAAAATTTTAAAAATTAGCCAGGTGTGGTGGTGAATGCCTGTAACCCCAGCTACTCAGGAGGCTGAGGCAGGAGAATATCTTGAGTCTGGGAGGTAGAGATTGCAGTGAACCAAAATCATGCCACTAAACTCCAGCCTGGGTGACAGAGCAAGACTCCATCTAAAAAAAAAAAAAAAAAAAAAAAAGAATGGTGGGTTGTGGGGAAGGACAGAAAATGAGTTATTGTTAAGAAATACCAAGATTCAGTTTGGGTAGATGAAAAAGTTCTGGAGATGATGGGGTGACAGTCAGACAACCACATGAATGTACTTGGTGCCACTGGACTGTACACTTAGAAATGGTTAAAATTGTGGATTTTAAGTTACATGTATTTACCACGATTTTTTAAACATGATATGAAGAATTCATTTCCAAGTGAGGATTTTTAATATTTCCTACAATATCTGCCTCTGTGATTGAAATGGTTTCCAAATGACACAAATTAGTTCTCCTGTGATCTTAACAATATATACAGAATACCTAGAATCTCACACACATGAGACTATGGTGGCATCCAACTGCAGAGATTTCAAAGTCCAGAGCAACAAACCACTCAGGCCTTTTTCTTGGTTTTCTGGACAACCCGCCTAAAAGGCTTTTCTGTTCTTCAAAATCCAAAAAGGCATGTCCTGTAGTTCAAATGCTGTTCATACATAATTTCTAATCCTGGCCAGTTCAAGATTAGCCTGGCCAAAATGGTGAAACCCTGTCTCTACTAAAAGTATAAAAATTAGCTGGGTGTGGTGGTGGGCACCTGTAATCCCAGTTACTTGGAGGGCTGAGGCAGGAGAATCACCTGATCCCAGGAGGCGGAGGTTGCAGTGAGCCGAGGTCACACCATTGCACTCCAGCCCAGGCAACAGTGCAAGACTGCATCTCAAAAAAAATAAAAAGAAAGAAAAAGAAAAAAAAGAAAGCAAAGAGTCTCTGAAACAATGCTTCTCATCTTAGCTACTCACCCAACTGGGTAATGCCTTCACATTGCCACTATAAAATGAAAATAGGTCATAAATGAAATCCTAATGAAAATAAGTCCTTCTACTCACAGGGGAAGTAGATAGGCTAAAAAAGGCAAATGCATGGCAAATCATTCTCCACAACAAATCACAATGAACACTCTGCTTTGCATTGTTGCTGCAGCTAATGACCCCAGAAGTGGTGGTGTTCACCACTGCACCTCCCGGCCTCCTCCACCTGGGGCCCCCTCACCCTGTCTGCAGCTGTCCTGCCTGGACATGCCCTGCCCACTGAACTAAATTGGAGGAAGGAAGTGCGTATCATCAGGAACCCATTACTCGAAGATACAAAAAATATATATATACATATATTTCCATTTTTTTAACTTTTAAATTCAGGAGTACATGTGCAGGTCTGTTACATAGGTAAACTTGTGTTATGGGGGTTCACTGTACAGATGATTTCGCCACCCAGGTATTAAGCCCATTACTCATTAGTTGTTTTTCCTGATCTTCTCCCTCCTCCCTCCCTCCTCCCTCCCTCTTCCCTCCCTCCTCCCTCCTCCCTCCTCCCTCCTCCCTCCTCCCTCCTCCCTCCCTCCTCCCTCCTATAGGCCCAGTGAGTGTTGTTCCTATTTTCATTTTCAAAGAGAGATCTCAAAAGGCCTCACGTTACCTGTTCTATGATAACTGTTGACAATATCAGCTTCAAATAAGGTAAATATTCCCCACCACATAGAAGCTGAAATGAAAATAAGTCATAAACGAAATCCTAATGAAAATAAGTCCTTAAAACAATCCTTTTCTTTCTTCGGAACTTTGCAGATGACTCTGCGTTTGATTCCTTTTCTCATGACTGACTCTGTTTCTGGGAGTGTTATGTGGCACCAAAAAAAAAAAAGTAAAACAAAAAAAAAAACAAAAACAAGGGAAGATGGGCTTTAAAGCCAGAGAGAGAGATCCCATTCCTGGCCCTCTCATGTGCCAAGTGCTCAGCTCTGGCTCTCTGGAGGCCCCCAGCTATCTATCTGAAGATGATAACACAGGCATCCATGCTGCAAGATTGTAGCAAGGATTAGAAATTTTGTATGAACAGCATTTGAAGCAGTGCACAATAAATTATGCCAGTGATCATGATGTCAGCATCACAAACACATATTGGCATATGTCACACACCAATCAGTACGTTCACACTGCTCAGTGCAACCACACCTCCCCCACCATTCCCCAGGAAAAGGTGTTCTGCTCAGAGTCCTGGGAAGCAGCACACCCAAGGTGGCCCAGACTCTTTCTCCTTAAACTATTGCCTATTTTATCAGTGTGGAAAAGTGGGCAAATAGCACAATCACAGTAAGAGTCTCCTCATCGTAAATGTTGCATCAGGCCAGGCGAGGTGGCTCACACCTGTAATCCCAGCACTTTGGGAGACTGAGGCAAGTGGATCACTTGAGCTCAGAAATTCAAGACCAGCCTGGGCAATGTGGCAAAACCCTGCCTCTACTAAAAATACAGAAAATTAGCTGGGTGTGGTGGTGCATGCCTGTAGCCCCTGCTATTCAGGAGGCTGAGGTGGGAGAATGGCTTGAGCTGGGAGGCTGAGATTGCAGTGAACTGAGATCACACCAGTGTACTCCAGTCTGTGCAACAGAGACCCTGTCTCAAAAAACAAAAAAATAAAATAAATGAATGCTGCATCAGGCCTCAATGCTCGAGACCTAAATCTGACTTATATCTGTTTTGGCCAAGTTCCATGCTGATCCTCTAGAGACAGCGCCCAATCCACAGGACTGCTTGGTATTTTCTCCTCACAGCCATGGTTCCTTGCTAATGTGGTTCTCTTTCTTTTCCCCATCTCCTGCTATTGTTCTCTTTCCTTTCATGTAGACTATATTACCAGAAATATGAACAGTAAAGATGAAGTACAGAGTTCAGCCTGTAATCTCAGCACTTTGGAGGCCAAGGCGGGTGGATCACTTGAGGCCAGGAGTTTTAGACAAGCCTGGCCAACATGGAAAAACCCCATCTCTACTAAAAATACAAAAATTAGCCAGGCATGGTGGTGCATGCCTGCAGTCCCAGCTACTCGGGAGGCTGAGGCAGGAGAATTGCTTAAACCCAGGAGGCAGAGGTTGCAGTAAGCTGAGATCATTCCATTGTACTCCAGCCTGGGTGACAGAGTGAGATTCCACTCAAAAAAAAAAAAAGTCATTCTTTGTCACAGGAAATTACTACATATATTCAGAGGAGCATAACAAATACAGCATGTCATGTCTTCCAGAACCTTCCAGAACTCAATATCCTCATCCTTTAGCATTGGTGCTACCACCAAGGGACGTGAATGCATGCTGAGCACAGACACTTAAGTCAACTCATCTTTCTGCCTCACCTTGCCCTATGTCAGGGAGCCTTCTCTGAGGGTCCTTGCTGAGGACTAATGGCAAGTGACCTCATCCCTTCAACCACAACTGGTTGGATCAAGGATGACTACCTGATCCAAGCTGGGCCAATCAGATTCTCTCTTCTAAGAAGCGATCTTTGAAATACAGGAGTTCTAGCTAGCCTCCTGACAATACTTAAGCTAGAAACTGATCGAGATTGGGAAGACTACATCAGGTCCACATAGAAGTAGAACTGAGAAATGGAGCCTGCAGAAAGCAAAAACAAAGCAGATACCCAGAGAGAATCAGATGAGAATATGCATAGGTGAGAGAGAGAAAGAGAGAGAGAGAGGAGAGAGAGAGAGACAGAGAGCCAATCAGATTCTCTCTTCTAAGAAGCGATCTTTGAAATACAGGAG